ATGTGCGCGGCGTGTCAGAGTACGGACGGGCAGCTTGGGCAGCACACGTATCCTTGTCCGGGCAGCTATTAGGGCAGGTATCTCACCCCTATAAAAAGGGGATGAGCCTTTCTTCCTTAACACGTTCTATTCATTCTCTAAATTCCAGTATACTCATACACATACTGACTTAAGCATCGGAGGCTCTTCACCGGATCCAACCCCCGGTGTGAGAGTTACTTGCAGGTTCTCGGCGTTCTACCGGCAAGGACAAGAATCGATCTACTCCAAACCGGACCCGGACGCTCACACTTGCATTACCATCCTTCACCAGTGGCCGATCCGACCCATCCTTGATGCATTTGATTTGGTTGATGTCCCTTGTCTTTCTCTCCTCAATCCTAGCCATCCTATAAATGTTCTTCTCCCCCTCCTTCGTGCCTAGGCGCTGATAAAGATCATCACAGGCCTGACCCTTCGCTACACTCACGACACGCTTTGCAGCCCTCCTCGCAACAACACTAACGACAAGTCCAACAATTTGGCAAATGTGTAGTCTCTGATACATGAGAGAATACCAAGAAAGTCCAATGGAGATATACTGCTGCAACAAATCGGCGATAGTAAAGATGAATAAATCCCATGCATCACAGCAGGACCACACACATTGCTATCAAATATCATTTTCTAAGAGAAACAACTACTGACAAGTAGATAGAGCTCAAGTATATCGCAGTAAAGTTTAACTAGCAGATATTTTCACGAAGGCTCTACCGCGATCAAGGTTCGAGAGACTACGAGCCACACTTTGAATTATTCGAATGAGAATTAAAGGGGAGTGTTAAATTTAATGCTCACTTTTTAAAATATATGCACCGCCAGTAAAGATTAATCTAGAATCTCAATTAATATATTTATCAATTAAGCCTTTCTAGAAAATACGGTCAAGGGAGGCAAAATGAAGAATGAAAAATCTTGATTTACCTATTGGGCTTTATATATATGCGCAACATAATGATAAAAGTAATGAAAAAACACTTTAAAATCCTTTGCATAAGAACTATACCCATCACCTTCAAAGCCACTAACTATTTTTACTACTCAACCCCCAAATTATAATCTGTAAAATTTGGATACCAACATTAATTAACCATCAAATTATTCGGTCCTTGTAATCCCGTTGGACACACATCGTTCCCTAGAAACCATCTCCAAATGCCTTCTCTTCCTCTTGCTTCCTGCCTCCTCCACCTCCTCCTCCTTTCGATCCACAAATGACAGAAACTTGTGAATCCTCACCGACTTTGAGCTGCTTTGCAAAGAAGATGGTTGCTGTTGAGGCAAATACGAGCGCTTGAACTTGTACAGAGTCGACCCAAAGTAGACTGCTAAGGCTGCCACGCACGCGGCCCCACACAGGAGAAAGAGGCCCCAAAAGCTCTTTAGCTGGAGCTGATCTAAGTTAGCCGAGTTGGCCGGTTGGCAAACGCCGTTGTTGAGCCACTTGTCGTGCAACTTTTGGAGGTCACCATTTTCTGAGAGCGTAAGGAGGGCAGTGGACATGTCCATTGCAAGGGGAGAGTCTCGAGGAAATGCCTGCATGCAGTCACCGCGGGCCAAAACAAAGTTTTCAAAAATAGAATAATAATAATAATAATAATAATAATAATAATAATAATAATAATAATGATAATCGTAAGGGAAGAATAAGCACTCACGAAACCCCAGCCGGAGCGCGTGAACTGGCGGCCGACGACCTGGAACATGCAGTTGTTGGCGAGGAAAAGGTCGACGTAGGGCCGCTCGTCGACCACCGCGGCCACATGGCCGCTCCTGAGGGCGGCGGCGCACTCCTCTGGGGAGCCGAGCGGGACGAGGCGGGAGGGGTCGATGTTGAGCTCCTCGGTCATGTAGTTCTGAGCGTAGGACCCGATCTGGAACCCGACCCGGGCCCGGCCCGCAATGAGGGACTCGATGCCAGTGATGGAAGGAGCCAGCTGCTGGACGGTGAGGATGGAGGTCAGGCTGGCGGTGTAGCTTGATGTGATTATCAGCACCACGAACATCCAGATTATGAGGACCATGCGCCCAAGCGTGCTCATCGTGTTCTCTCCTACAATTTTTGTTTTTTACTTATTTATTTATTTTTCTTTTTTGGTACCTAATTTTAGCAATAAATAATAGCAGTTTGTCAAGTTTTTTTTTTTTATTTTAATATGGAAATTCTTATAAAATACTTACTGTGAGCAAAGAACATAGTTGAGAAGCCAAACCTACAAAACAAAGGAGAAAAAATAATTCAAGAAAACTTTTTGTGGGCACAAAATTATTGCGTATGCATGACGGCAGCATGACGACTACGTGTGACCCATTAATTAGAATTTAGAAAAAGCATCTCTCACTCACTCACTCACCATACAATTGTGATGAATTGTTTCTTTGGTGGGCCCCGAAATTCATCGTTGACCTTGTGTTCCAGAATCCAAATTACGAACCCCACAATAAAGAAAGATGCCCCAGTAACGGCCCACATTGAGGGAGTAAACGGGCTCAAAAAAGCCCATGGGCTCGAGTTCAACCTCCTCACAGGCGCCACTACAACAAGCCCGGACTCTATATAAGGCTGCGTGAAATCCACAATCTTTGTACGGTTGGTCACGATTGCAATGTCACCAACAGCTGCATCAAACGCCTAAATTGAATTTGAACCCCTTAGATAGATATCTACGACCACGACTTAGATAATGCCAATTCATGAAAATTATTTCGTCGAATTTTGTAACCGTTAGATTAACTATCCCTGACAGTTGATCTGACGATTACAAATCCCGACATAATGATTTCGTAATGGCACCGTAACATTTTCCTAAAATCATAAACTATAAAATCATGCAAAAATCATATTCACTCGTGCTTTAGTAGCTAAAAAAAAAA